AAGATGATCTTCACTCAGTTGCTTTAAGAATGCTTTATCCCCAAGGAGCACGAGGGGGCGCAAGAACCTCTTGGTAAGAAGTGTCCTCAGCCTTCTTCCCACTCTGCCTCCAAGTCAGAAAAGAGGAACCCTGACCAGGTGTGACAGCTAACACCCCTGTCTCACAGAATGCTGTCAGCTATGCGGGCACAAACCACGTCTGTCTGACCGACCTGCATAGTGCCGGGTGCAGCGTCATGTTACATGTGCTTCAGAGCCAAACGAAGACAGTCCTCTGCTACCTTTCTTCAGTGTTCAGAGGTTCATATGAGGATAATCACTTCCATCTAAAAGCTTTTTACAATTCTACCCTACCGAGAGCAGAGACTTGCCCACTTAGGTGTAAGCCAAGCTGCCAGGTCACAGAGAACAGGGCTCGAGGTGTGGGCAGCATGTACCGCCCTCGTTTCTGCTCTGGCCGCCACACCAGGGCCCTGTGCTTGCGCACAAAGCGCCAGGTCACACACCCTGAGAAGTCGAGGCCCGAGGAGGCCGCTCGGCAGACTGAAACTCGCCCTGACATCTGAAAAGGGAAAGTGTATAGGAACCCACCTACCGTTTCTAAAGTCGTACAGCTAAAACTAGGATCTCTGCTGGGATCTCTTACCTATAAATGTGAAGGTACCTTCAGGGAAGTTTTTAGTGAACAATGTTCAGAGACATTCTGGGAGAAAAAGTCTTAGGTCAGTGGTACTGAACCTTTTCATTAATTTTCCCCCAACAGACTAATGTTTTTAAAGATTTTGTCTATCAAATTGCATGTTAAAAATAATATGTTCCATATGTGTGATCCAGGTTTTATCCAAACATCAGTAATTTTAAGAGGGTTCATAACATGAAATACACAAATCACTATTGTGGTTATGATGCTAAGAAGCAACGAAGTTAAATAATTATATAGATACTTTAGCACTGATTTCTGCTGCTGATTAGAAATTATGGCCATCTCTCTATATATATTCAGGATACAGCTATATGATACATGGCTTTGCAACATTGAGTCATCAGCAACCAATCAGTTTCTGAACAGCTAAGCTGTTTTATTATACTGAGTTGATATTGTCATTTAGTCACTAAGTCGTGTCTGACTCTTTGTGACCCTATGCACTGTAGCCCACCAGGCTCCTCTATCCATGGGGGCTTCCCAGGCAAGAATACTGGAGTGAGTTGCCATTTCCTTCTCCAGAAAATCTTCCCAACCAAGGGATAGAATCCATCCATGTCTCCTGCATTGCAGACAAATTCTTTACCTCTGAGCCACTAGGGAATCCAGTATATATGAGTTATAAATAAATATATATTATCTATACCCACAGTAAGAAATGTTTTATGATTTGTATCCACTCAACTCATTTAAGTGGGTAAAGTGACAGATGGTGTTATAGTCATGGTGTCACCGTTAAAGTGAATAATGAGCGTTACTAGCCTTTCTGGCAACCCTATGTTGATTCCTAACAGTTTAACTTTATTATTTAAAAATCTAGTAACAAATGCTCTTTGCACTTTTTATATTGGGTTCAGTTCTTTTCGAAATCTGTGCATGAATTTTTCTTTTATCATGTACCTAACTGACTTCCCCAAAACAGTGGAAAGGGAAAATGATATGAAATTTACCCCTTTGAATTCTACTATTTGCTAACAATTCTTCTTTTCATTCTTTATTTTGTTGCACAAACACTTGGTGATGGCCCACTATGTACCAAGCACAGTGCTTTAGGCCTTGACTGATACATGGTGAGTGGGCAAGCCAGACCTGGTCTGATGTTATGGATGGTTACAGTCTAGATTAGACTGTGTAAAAGAGGCATTTGTAGTCTCTGTCACATTAATTCATTCTGTCTTATCATTTCTTATACTGAAAATGACAGACTTGTAAAAATTCAGGCTTATTCTTGTCCTGAAGGGTACTGACAGAATTCAGGATAGGGGAGATCAGCACAGTTCACTGACACTTGAGTGAATTCTCTGAGATGGAAAGTACTGTACAAAGACTCAGCGCACCTTGAAGTACACAGTCCCCTTCTCTTTGACGATGGCAGCCTGCTCCAGTTTCTCTTTGGTGTCCATCTCCCAGGACTCTTTGGCCTGTTGCATAAATGCGTGACAGTGGTTAGATGAACCGAGAAGGAAAAAGCATCAGCTGATGTCCATAAGAAAAAACTATAGCTACTTCTACAGAATACCCACACCTCAAAACACAGTGGCTTTTAAAACTATGCGCCCTTGCCAATGCACTGGTAGGCTAGAACTCATCTCTCCGTGAGAACAAAGGTGTAGCTTGACCCACGCTGCTCAAGAGGGAGGCTCGGACGGTAACACTGTAAGGAACATGAACTGTTGAGCACTGTAAAGAATGCATCTTTAGAATTATAAGGTGAGGTCACACAATGAAAGCTGAGGCCTCTCTTCTCATTCTGCTGCTATACTGTTATTATAATTTTGGCAAGTTGTTTCTCTCAAGATTCAGTTTTTAACGCTAAAATGGGAACACTACTGCAGGCCCTAAGTCACAGTTATATACTCATACACGGTTTAAAAAATTCCAGGTCATGTAGTTGTCTATTCACTGTGAAACAACCAGACCTGAGGCCTCCAAACTGTAGCAACTTGCAGAAGTTTACTTGGGAAATATCAAGGAAAGCATAATTGGGAGGACGGAGGTGATACAAAGACATAAACAAACGCTTTCATGATCACCTGCTAGTTTGTGTGTATCATTACTTTCCTGCATTACAGATATGAGTCCAGGGACAACTGCACTTTTATGAAGAACAGCTGGATCACGAGGAGTCAACAGAACAATCTGAGACGTCCTGTAGGGGAAAAGCACTGACACAGCCACTCTCAATTTACTGATAAGAATTATGAAGCTTCAGTGGGTAAATATAAAATTCCTTATTTCAAAAGACAGTGTTATATTCCTGGTGTCACCTTTAAAGTGATAAATGAGTTACTAGTCTTTCTGGCAACCCTATGTAGATTCCTGACAATTTAACTCTATTATTTAAAAACCTAGTAACAAAGGCTCTTCCCATTTTTTTTATATTGGGTTCAGTCTTTATGGATTATAAATCTGTTCTTAATATTACAAAACAGAAAATTAAATCATGTTGCTTTCAACAACATCACACTGTCACATGGTTTCAAGTACAATCTCATAGCACTGTGGTCAGAAAAGATGCTTGATACAATTTCAATTTTCTTAAATTTACCAAGGCTTCCTCTGTGGCCTAGCAGGTGACCTGTCCTAGAGAATGTTCCATGTGCACTTGAAAAGAATATGTATTCTGGTGCTTCTGGATGGACTGCTCTATAAATATCAATTAAGTCCATCTTAATTGTCATATGTCATTTAAGGCCTGTGTTGTTTTCTTACTGATTTTTCTGTCTGGATGATCTGTTCACTGATGTTAAGTGGGGTGTTAAAGTCCCCCACTGATTGTGTTACTGTCAATTTCTCCTTTTATGTCTATTAACAGCTGCCTTATATATTGAGGTGCTCCCACGTTGGACTGCTGTATCTTCTTGGATTGATCACGTGGTTTCAAATATACCCAACAGCAGTGCAGCCTGGAATACGCCCTTGGGGCCGTGACCGAGAACAGGCTTGCCGTGGTGTACTACGGAGTGAGTGTCCTACAGAACCACTCAGGAGTGAGACGGCTCCTGTCTGGGCCAGGGCCAGGGCGGGAAGGGCTGGGGGTAACTTTACTGAAATGGAAACAAGAAAGCCAAAGGGCTACATAACCATGTGCAACAGATCCTTTTTCCCCCTATTTAAAACCACTTTGTGCCATGAAGACAACTTTGGAGGATCAGGACTTCAGAAGACATTACCTGACAACAAGCAATAGCCGTGAAAAGAGCATGTGTGTGTGTTTGTGTCATGATTAGGAACATCACCACTAGGAGAGGATCCCAAAGCTGTCCTCCCCTTTCTCAGCCCAACATTAAGAGGCCCTCAGGACAATGATTTCCTTTCTGTGTCTAATAACATAAAAATGGTCCTGTTTCTAGTCCAAAGCTTACAGTAAAGAACATGGAGGTAGTGGTGGGGGGGGGGGGGGGGGGTTTGGGGAAAAATGTCTGCAAAATGCACTCCCAAGGTTCTCAGGGAAGGGAGGCTTTGGTGGGGCAGGGACACAGCTGGACGTGACAGTGTACCCAGCTCAGGCAAATGTTTTGTTTGTCCAGGGAAGCTGCTGCCGGGAGCCTCCGGAGGTGGATCTGAGATGGAAGTATGCTCAAGGAGGTGTGCCATTTCTGGATCCTGAGGCTAACACTTTTTTCTACTTGGACAGGTATGAAAAGAAAAAGTCTAGGGTTAACAGATTTGGTCCTTGTGTCCCTTGTCACTGAGCCTGGTGGCCCACGAAGCCTTGCATTTTGGATAATAACTTGGAGCCACACTGACGGCCTCTTCACAACTCCTGTGAAGGGTACAATCCGTTCAGCCCTGGAAAACTGCACCCCACTCCCCCAAGGAGCTGCTTGGCAAGAACATGAACCTTTTTGTCTTCAACCCAGGAAAAAAAGTACAAAAAGAACAAGTCTAGGAACAAATAAGGGAACAAGTCTTGGCTTCTACCCAAAAAAGTTAATAATAATAAAAAAAAAAAAGGCTGACACATAGGAACAAAATAAGAACACTGAGCTCCTTGGCTGTGTATCAGCTGTGCTCTATCAGTTGTCCTGTGCTTCGGGAGCAGCATCAGAGACAGGGGACAAGCTTGGTCATGGAAAGCACTACATACAAACAAATACCATTTATCTATACCATCTGGTAATGTAAGATACTAATTTACAATAAGGGATGGAGAAGAAAATCTGTCATGATTTCAGAGAAGTTGGTATTTTCTCACCTTTTCGAAGCTCTTAAGTGTAACTTCATATATAAGCTCAGCATTAGGTTCAATGCCAAATTTAGGCTTCCCTGCCTCTCCAAAACCATATCTGAAATGGAGAGGGGAAAAAAAAAAAACAAAACAACTTTAAAGAACTGGTTTATTTCCAGGCACCTCCTTTGGTATCTCCAGGCATCACATTAGCATAGAGCTCTCATTTGCAAACCACACACATCAGAGACCCTGAGGATAAACCAGATGTTGATCAGAAGATATAGTACCAAGTACCACTGCTGTGGTTTTTCAGAAGCCAGGCTCCGTTTAGTCTTCTTCCTCACATTCATGTGTGACGCAACACCTGGACTCCTTGGGACAGCTGGCTTAATAGAATTGTAAATGTCACTGTCTTTTTCTCTGCTTGGTTTTATATTTGGTTCTTTTAATAAAACAGCCATTATTTGACTCACTCTCTTTGTCTCTCCTTGATGTTATATCTCGTTCTGTTTTAAAAAACAGCCACTGTGACTATCAGGGCTGAAGCTTCATCAGGACCTAGAGAAGACAGGCACTCTGTTACAGTGCTGTTTGGGAGAGGTATGTTTTAACGAGCTTTTAACTTTAAAGTGCTGTCCCCTTCCAGAAGTGCCATTTCCAGTCAGATAAATGGGGGGAAAGGATCACACACCAGAAAGGATATATATCCTCACAGTACTTCTTTAAGACTTTTAGAAAGCATACTAGAAAACACAAAATATATAATTTAAAAAACCAGGCCCAGCAAGCTCTAACACCTCATCAAGAGAAATACCCTGCACTGTATTCCCATAGCTCCCTGGCTGTAACACTACAAAACACTGAATTTTTTAGCCAAAACTTACTAAAAACAATTGCTGAGAATACAGAGATTTGTTTTTTTCGGACCATTTAAGATTTTAACAAACGCAAGGCATTCGAGGGAGCACACGTCTACGAGAACGGAAATTCTGATGGAGCTTTGTCTGTCTGGTTCAGTGGTTTCCCAGCATGTAGAACAATGCCCAGCATAATAGGAAAATGTTCCCTGGAATAATTCTGCTCCCATGTGTTTCAAGCCAACTTCTCTTTAATATATGGAATGGCAAAAAACTTAATAACTCAAACACTCAGGCTATGGGATGAAAGATGCCAGAACCAGATTGATGTATTAATACCTTCAGTTTCCTTTGGGGTAAAAGGATTGGAGTGGGAACACTCATCTCTTGCTGTTTGCAACACTTCTTTCCTCCTGCCTGAATTTTTCAGGAAGAAAATGTTTACTCACATACCTCCACTGTTACACAAGACAGTGGAAGCTGGAGCCAGAGAAAGGCACAGAGATGGATTGAAAGCTGGTAGGAATGGGGTGTGGCAGTTTTAATAGCAGGGCAGAGGGTATCTTCAGCGAAGAAATAAAAGCGGGCATAATTACTAGTGGCCAATTGTAGGAAGTGGTGACTAGGTTTCCACTTTGAGCTCTTTGACTGCAGTGTCTCCTGTTTTGTTCCTGCCATCTGGGAAGTAAAGGACATGCTTTAACTGCTGGGAAGCAGGTGCGCAGGTGAGCCCTTGCTGAGCGTTGTTTACTGGCAGCACAGTTGTACAGTCTATTCTGTGAAGATGTATATGGAACAGTCCCAGGGAACTGTTTTGGGAGCATCTAAACTGACTTCCAATTATACAGAAACTTGTCTGATTTACTCTGGATTAGGCTGGGTGAGGAAGGACCCACAGATTCATCTGATTGAAAGACATGCATTTTCAGTCATGTCCAACTCTTTGCAACTCCATAGACTGTAGCCCGCCAGGCTCCTCTGTTCATGAGATTCTCCAGGCAAGAATACTGGAGTGGGTTGCCATTTCCTTCTCCAGGGGATCTTCCCGACCCAGGGATCGACCCCACTATCTCTTGCACTGGCAGGTGGATTCTTTACCCCTGCACTACCCGGGAAGCCCCACTGAAAGACTACCACAAATGGAATTTCAGGCTTAACCAAAAGATAAGCTGGGTTACAGTAACAGAAGGAATCCAGTATCAATGTTCTTAAACTGACAGGTGCCTGCGGAGGGCAGAGATACAATGACTGCTCACGACCGCTAAGCCCCTCTGTGCACACAAGAAGCACCTGCACCTCATATGCAATTGCTCCCTTTTTACAGATGAAGAAACTAAGACTCAGAACTGCTTCCTGAGAGTCACACAGAGGCAGTGGTGGAGCCAGGATTTAAATTCAGACTGTGTGGGTCCCAGAATATTGTTTAGTTTTTGAACCACGCTGCCTCATAATGAGATACTCTGGCTCTTGGCAGCCTGTTTTTGTTTGGGGTTGGTGCTGTACTGAAGACGGAAGAAAAAAGTAAAACTAGCCATACTTTACCTAAAACAAGAAAGATTAACCAGGCACCGTATTTAAAACAATATTAAAGACATTGTCCTGATGAGAGGTGAGAAAATGGATTTTCTGGATGTGTTTTATGAATTATTATGAAAACATCCTGTCAAGGAGTCTTGTCAAAATCAAAGAGAAGATATGCCCTGGAAATCTTTTGGAGAATGAAATACAGGTGACACTAAGAGTAACACCAAACACATATTTGCAATAGCCGTATTTATAGCCACACTCAGCTGCAGGGTGTCTGTTCAGTGGGAACCTGGTAAGACAAGTGAATTCACTGCACGCGCGTCCCGCAAGCCCGGGTTCTCTACGCACACAGATCTACATGGGCACGTGTGGGCAGTCTCCTGTTACAGGCGCGGCACTTCATGCCTCCTTAACATACTAAGCAACATCTTAAAGAGGAAGTAACGTGTTCCTTTCTAACCATGCTATTTCCACAAAACGTATGAAAAACCTTTCAGACCTAGAAATTCATGAAAACTTGTTGCCTACTTATGCCTGAAAAATCTACCACATGTTAAAACAGGGTTTCCTTTCCCTTGGGGTCTGAGAGTCATCAGGACAGCAATAACAGCCAATATGCTGAGGGCCCGGGTGTGTCAGGCGCTTTGCTACGCTCCTTACATGCATTCTCTTTCTTAGTCCTCCACAGCTCTGCGAGGTAGATACTGTCATCCCCAGTTTACAGAAAGGAAAACAGACTGAGAGTCAAGTACACACGGCTGGTAAGCTGCATGTTCTTTTTGTTTCTTTTTTTAAAAACCACTAATCATATGACAATTTAAACCTGCAAGGAACCATCTGCATTAATAAATATAAGGGTAATTCTAGTTTCTCTCTGCCCATTAAAATTGAGACATCTGTTCCCACAACTGGCTTGTCACCTAGGTTAAAATGTAATAAACTGATTCATATAATATTAAACTTACAATACATACAGAACTCCTCTACAAGGAACTTAGATTTGAAAACATATGTGCGTAAATACCACTCTCTTTATATGAGCTTAGAACTAATGTAACTTTGGGATGCTGGATTAAAAATAATTAGATATTACTTAGATATGCAAGAGATGGCCCGTCTATGCCCCACCTGAGTTAAAAAATAGTTTCTTATAGAAGAGAGAACTAGATTCATCTGAGTGAAGTACAAACTACTATTTACATAGTAAATGCAAATAAAACACAAAGGTGGGACTATACTAGTTCAGAAAGGAATAAGGCAGAGAAAAAGAAGGTATTAAATTAAAGGTGCCTCAGTGAAGGCTCTAAAGGGTTCGAGATGTAGAGCATTTTGCAAGGCTTTTCAAGTGGATTAGTGGCATGACTGGAACATCATTTGAGAAATACAATTATGGCTCAAGTGTCAGGGCAAAGGTAAGTATGCCACTGGATTAAGACGAAGGCTACACAAGGCAAGCAACTGTACAAAAGGCACGAGAATACCTATTGGCAAGTGCAGGTCATCAAGATTCCCAGTCACTCAAAATCCCACTAACTGAAACCCAAGGATCCAGGGAGAGAGGAGACATGAGATAAGCAGATGCACTTTCACACAAATAGAATCAAAACACCCTGGTTTCTCTCAAGGGTCCATTTCTCAAGATAGAAGGGTTAGATCCATGGTATAATTTTAGGTCTAAAAATAATACCAAACATGTTTTCACAAGAGAGACTGTTAGTGTCTGATAGTTCTAAGCTTGGAAGTGCTAATGGATATCCTTATGATGGGAAAAATTTAGGCAAAAATGAGTCATCTCCGCTGCCTTTAGATCCAGGAAGAGCACTCTTTTTTCAGGGAGTCTGTATAAGAACAGGTGGCACATATTCAAGTGGTAATAAATCATCCAAATGTTGCTTCTACTTCCAGCCTCCACGTTTTACCGCCTCCAGCCTAATTCAAAGAAAAGGGGAGAAGGGGCAAGAGCTTCCTGCCTTGGCGACATGGCCGGCAAAACAGAGAAGCAAGACTCGCCTGTCAGTCCTACCCTGAACACACATCAATCAAGTCAACAGGCTTACAAACCTCTGTAATATTATAAGGCCCATTAACTCACCCTAACTGTAGCCTGATTTAATTAATTGTTTCCACTCTTGGCATTAACTTCACTGAAAATAGCAAAATGCTGATTGAAAAAACAAGTGTATCCCTTTTCTTTAGATAACGTCAGTCACTGTGTACTGAACCAGTACACTGCTTACCGTGGTCCAAGATATAAAATACATTGTTCCTCACGCTGCATTTTCTCCAGGGCTTTGTCAATTCCAATTGGAATGTCGTGGTCTTCTCCTTCACCAACGATGAACCCCACATCTCTGCAATCAAACATCCTTCCACCACAGCGGCCTTCCAGGTGGACTGAGAGAGGGGAGACAGGACAGTCAGAAGAGTAGCTCCTTGTGACGGGGCTAATGTAGGGCCATGATAAATGAGTATTTCCCCTTCTTCTTTGCATCTGGAGACATATGGAGTATGTCCTGTTGAAGCTTAGTCCACCCAGTTGGGAAATTTAAGAGCAATCATATTTATTTCTGTTTTAAAAATTACTGTAACCATATGAATAAAATAGTTTAGCAGATAATAAAGTGGAAACAGGTCTAACTTAAGCTGACAGAGATATCCTCTACTGTAACACAAGAAATACTAGATTATTTAATAGGTAATTATCAAAATGCCACAAATTTAATACCAAGTAGATAAAGGCTTAAACATTTTCTTGGTTTCAGATGTCTGGGCTGAAAAACAACTGAATGGCTATTTCTCCCGTGATATACAAGGGTTAACTGAACACAGAAGCTCTTTTTTAAGAGCTTTAACCTCATTCACAAACATGTTTAAATAAAATGGAAAAGCCAAAGGCAACATCATCAATAACTAACACAGCTGCAATCCCTTAGTGGAATAATAAATGTAAAATGTGAAGCAATGTCAAGTCTGCAATAACTTGACAAATCAAATTTCTCAGCCACCTCCTCAGAAATGTTAAGAGGTCAATTTCTCAGGGCCTACTTTGCCACTGCACTCAAACTCAGCTCATTTGCAGGGTAATTTCATATTAGATAAGGGGCTTTATGTTAGTATAATATAGGAAAAATGCATATAGATATGTATTTTCCTCTTGATTGGTTAGACTTTTCCTTCTGGGATAAACAATTCTCTGAAACTTTCCAACTATGTTTAGTATTAAGGATATTCATTCCTTTCCATTTAGGTCTTTGACTCAGTAAGAAAAATGGATGGTTTGTATGACAGCACAGCAGCCAAAAAGCAATATAATAATTTATCTTTCATAAAAAATTCTTTATTCCTACTTCTGTAATATAATGGCCTTGGTTCAAACGTAATGAATTCCTAAAATGCTTCTTTTCTAAGACTGGTTGGGCTACTTTAGATCAATAACTTGTTTTAGAGACTAAACATCACTTGTCCTGTTACACCCGTTCTATGAGACAGTTATCTTCCAAATACAAATCCAATTCCAACTTGTACTTTTCAAATTCTGAATCTCAAAGGTCCTTTGAAACTCTAAAACTCTATAGTTCTATGACCCAGTAATGTAACTCTCGACTCAGACCAGAAACTAGTTTCAAAGCTAATTCCTGTAATTTGATCAGGTTACCTTTAGCCCAGGCCTAAATGAGTAAACAGCAGTGGCATAGATACTAGGGGCCGAAATGTCACATGGACATTTATGCTTTCAAGTTTTCTACCCTTTTCTAACCACTAGGATTAATACTATCCCGATTTGTTCCCATCACAGATATAGGATGGAGCCAGACACTTGGGCCAAACTACAGAAGGCCTGACTTGAATCAGACCCTCTAAACAGGGGCAACAGCTAGACTGGCTCTCAGGGTGGAGCTAGAATAGAGGAATTTTGTTCTGTTCCATACTCAAATACAGATGACTCTCAATTAACTCACCTTTGGAACATTCTAAATAAAATACAACTTAGCTTGCAGCACGGTGAAAGTTCTCTCAGAAACAGTCCCAAATAAATTCAACTTTATTATTTTAAAATACATACACACTTGAGAGATTCTGCAGGAAATTCTAAGCTTAATATATTTTTACTAGAGGGCCTTCCCTGGTGGTCCAGTGGCTAAGACTCTGCGCCCAATGCCGGAGGCCTGGGTTCCATCCCTGGTCAGGGAACCAAATGTCTGTCTGCATGTGGCAACTAAGCCCAGGCACAGCCAAGTCTTTTTTTTTTTTTTTTAAAGATATTTTTTACTAGAGTAAAAGCTCGTATTTCTAAAGGATTTGAGAGTTCTAAAAAGTTTATGTTCCTAAATATTTTAAAATCTGCCCAAGAAATTTAGACTAATGTGATGACACTTTTCATGAAAAAAAGATTTGCTGAGCAAAGTGAATTTCAGCCCACGTATTGTAGCACATCTCAAGCGTTGAGATTTATGATCCTAGTAGCTCACAACTTTTTCTGTGTGAGGTTTATTGTTAGAAGTGTTTTCCTGCCTGAAGGAGAGAACATTTAGTGGGGGAGGAAGCTATCAGTACGTTCATTGTGGTTTTAGGTTGATCAAGTTTGAATGTGTTTTCAAAACAGGAAATCCAGAGACTCTGCGAAAGATTCCTGCCTATGTGTCAGTTTCCTAGGCCGGTTTTCAGCTTGATGCATATACTTTATCTTAAAATTATATAAATGATTTCAGAAATCCTCCTTACATGTGATAACCCTTCATGTTAGGGAAAGAAGAGACTGGCTACTAATAAACATGTTGGGAAAGATAAGTGAAGCAAGCAAGCAAGCAAAAAAAAAAACAACAACAAAACTTCAAGTCAAATTATAATGAAGGTATAATTAAGAAAGCCAAAAAAAAAAAGTTCACCGCAGCTGGTCTAAGAGGGATAATACTGGGAGAACCAGTGTTTTTAGCCACCCAATAGGGAAACATTTGCAATAACGCTTACAAACACTTACTACCTTATAGAGGAACTAATCTTTTTTTTCTATTAAATCTCTTTTAAGCTGAACCTGAACAAGCACTATAGTACCACAAAATCTTAAATTGATAAACTGATATGCATGTGTGCACACACACAGCAGTCTGTATGTGGGTATATAAAACCTTTAATATTGACATTATCTGGAATGTCAGTGCAAGAGGAGGTGTTACACCCTTAGCTAGTAGAGAGTCCATTGATTCTTTACATCTACAAGTAGCAAACCCTATTGTTAGGTTAACTGGTTTCTAAAATTGGAACACTGGTGTGACATGTTTCATGAGACAGCTGACAAGAACTCACACCCCATCCTGGAGCTACACAAATGCCTGCTGATTACCACAGCAGGGTCCCCCATCATGGGGACAGATGCAGACATGTCTGGCTCCCATCTATCTGTTTTTTAAAAAATTGTCTCAACAATTGCTACCAAAGAAAACCATGGCAGCTCTGGCTGTGGAAGACCTGTGGTTGCTTTTGACCTTGTATCACTTAGTGCAAATACTCATTTAATAAATATTTAATAATAACCATCATGACTCACTGGGAGCTCGGCCTCGAGGGCTCAGGAGGTCTGTTGCTAATTCCAACCAGCCTGATTTACGGGAAGTAAATGATCTATGACGTGCCCAAAGAGAATAAAAGTACATACAGGATGCTTCTACTTAGGGCTTTTTTTGGGGAGAGTAAGAAATACACAAGTTAAAAAGGGACAACATTTTCTCTTGACTTCAAGTCTACGTAACTTAAAGGGGGGAGATCCTCCAAACCCCATGAAATCAAACCAAACTGAATTACCCGAGCCTCCCCTCGCAATCCGAGTGTAACCACATCAAGTGAGCCTGGTCTGCTGCAAAACATCACTTAAACTGGAGCTCTGACTTATTGTTCTCTTACTGCCCTAGAGCAATTTTGTTTTGAAGAGCACAGAACACCCTGTTCTGAATGTGGCTGGCACATGAACTCGATGTGCTGACAGCAATTTGTACTCCGATTAAAATGGGGGGGTGGGGTGGGGAGGAAAGAGTGAACTGGAGTAAGGAAAGAAAAAAAAAAACTGGAATGCAAGACTCCAAAAACTTGCATTTTGGGTATAATTTGTATTTTAGGAAGCAAAACTGAGAAAGAAGCTCCATAACCTTAAAAAAAATGAAAAAGTGCTGTAATCCCTCCAGCCTAAAGACGGTTAGCTCTGGTGAGTGTTTTTCCCTTTTCTAATTATAGTAGTTGGTGTCTGATAGCTTTGCACTCATTCCCAAAACAATTACTGGGTCATGGGGATCTGAATGGGAATGTTGTAATGGCATTACTACTAGACAAGACTGGCCATTTAGCCAGAGAAAACCAGGTTGTGACAGGTTCCTCCCACTCGGCAAGGGTTTTCTCTGCTGCCTACTTCATGCCAAGGGAGTTTCTCTCTGCCTGCGTCTCCTGCCTAAGAGAGCAGAGCACTCAAGAGACGGGGATCTTAATGACCTCCTTGGAGAGGCAGATCCAGAGGTGGGTTTCTCAAATCAGGAGAGGGATATTAATCACTGAGCAGAAGAGGCACTGCTCCCCTCAGGCATGGTGGCCAACTCCCCCCACACTGCTGCCTGTCCTCCTCCTCGCCATTTTGTCCTGTGATGAACTAATACCATCGGAAGGCTGCTCAAGGCACTGACGGACAGAAGCTAGCTGAGAGCAGGCATGGAACCTGGCTGCCTGAACAGAATAACGTTTATGAAAATGGTTATACCTCTCAGTCTTAACAGGAAGCATACACACAGCAACACATTCTACACCAATACACCTCCTCACCACTCTCCTTTTCACACTAGTACAGCACTTGAGTCACTGCTGGATTCCAGTCCCATTCAATCACTTAATAGTTGTGGCTTTAGGCAAGGTCATTTAAATTATCCAAAGATCAGTTTCCTCATCTATACATTAGGGAAGCAATGTTAGCTAACTCCTAATTGTTGAGAGGATTAAATTAGGCACTGAATTAAAGCTTTTAGCCCAATACTTGACATCTATTCATTTATATGTCAGGGCAGCTACTATGTGAAAACACTATGTGTGGCTACACAGAGGTGAACTCTATGAACGTTAGCTATGATTATTTTCCTGCAATTAGTGGTAAATTATACCAAATTAAACAAAAATTAGAACTTGGTATGAGAAACCAGTTAATGGCTCCACAGAGAGAGCTGTCAAAATGTTAATAAAATTCAAAGTAGGCAAAG